TATATTTTATATATCCATAAATAAACGTTAATTAATATACATGCACATACATAAATAATTGAATTATAATATTTTTAGAGTAATTGAATAGCCTCCAAAATATATAAAGTGTACGTGCATGAACTTGAAAAATTAATAAATTGAATTATAGTATGATATATATAAATTAATGTTAATCATTATCATACACGTAAATAAATAATTAAATTGTATAATAAGTTCATTTCATAAACAATTTTTTAAACTATTTTTTTGTGTTAATTGATTTTCAAATATCATTTTTACAGCGTTTATAAAGTATTTTAAAATAACGTGCAACACGCATTTAGTAGCGACTAGCATACATTAAAAGACGCGTTGAAGATAAAGTGTGAAAAAAAAAAAAAAAAGGTCTTAAAATTTGTCAATTGTATCCAATATACAAAATATGCAACTAGAAGCGTGTTTCCACTTCCATGCGCAGTTTCTGGACCTAGCGATTCAATATATCTATTTAAAAAATGTTTGATAGGGCGAAGTGGGATATTAAACATTATTAAAGAGAAAAGTTTGTCCAATCTTATAAAAGATTGTTCAATATTATAAATTGTTGCGATCAAATATGCCTGGATGACTAATGATTGAAAATTTCGACCGGACGAATCTATGATATTCTAAATCATATTCTCTACAGTTAGTGATGGCAATCGAGCCGAGCGGCTCGTCGGCTCGACCGCTCAGCTCGTACTGTAGCGATCCACGAGCCGCTCGGGCTCGTCAAAAGACGAGCCCGAGCTCGAGCCNTTTATATACATTTAAACAAATGAGGTATAAATGAACCAACATGGAATTTAATTAATTTTAATCAATGAATATATAAAAAGAATTATTTATATACATTTAGACAAATGACGTTATATCATAGATTAAATGAATAATATTGAAATTAAATAAGTGTACGTGAATTTGAATAATTTATCTACTTCTATAACAATTAAATAACTCCCAAATTATATGATCTTTAATAATTTATATACTCCTATAATAATTTATGATAAAATGAATAATCTTGAAAATAAATACGTGTTCATGAATTTGAATAATTTATTTACTTCTAAAATAATTGAATAGCTCCCAAAACATGTATACATGAACTTGAGACTTAATGTTAAATTTTATATATCCATAAGTAAATGTTAATTAGTATACACGCACATACATGAATAATTGAATTTTAGTATTTCAAAAGTAATTGAACAACTCCCAAAATATATAAAATGTACATGCATGAACTTGAAAAATTAATTGAGTGAATTATAGTATAATATATATAAATTAATGTTAATTATTATCATACATGTAAATAAATAATTAAATTGTATAAAAAATTCATTTCATAAACAATTTTTTAACTATTTTTTGTGTTAACTGGTTTTCAAATATCATTTTTACAGCGTTTATAAAGTATTTTAAAATAACGTGCAACACGCATTTAGTAGTGACTAGCATACATTAAAAGACGCGTTGAAGATAAAGTGTAAAAAAAAAGGTCTGAAAATTTGTCAATTGTATCCAAGATACAAAATATGCAACTAGAAGTGTGTTTCCACTTCCATGCACAGTTTCTGGACCTAGCCGATTCAATACATCTATTTAAAAAATGTTTGATAGGGCGACGTGGGATATTAAACATTATTAAAGAGAAAAGTTTGTCCAATCCTATAAAAGATTGTTCAATATTATAAATTGTTGCGATCAAACATACCTAGATAACTAACGATTGAAAATTTTGACCGGACGAATCTATGATATTCTAAATCATATTCTCTACAGTGAAATTCTGAATTAAGTGAAAAATAAAATTCACCTAATCGTTTCTAAATTCATTATAAATAAGATTTAATTCACTTTTATTTATTATAGGCCATTGCATATTAATTTAAATATCAATATTTTGAATGACCACTGAGACGAGTTCTCGACAGTAAATTTCAGGATCCCGTGTGATTAGCCGAGGTGCGCGCAAGTTGGTTTGGACATCCACCGTTATATAAAAAAAATATTCTGAATAACTTGGCTGCATTTTATTGTCATTTTTCATTTGCTTTCTTTTCCTTATTCGGCAGCCTAATTATTTGCACCATTAAATATTAATACTTAGTTGTATTTAAAAATGGTCAATGTTTTTATCCTCCACGAACTGACCCTACCATGCAGACGTCGATTTTATTTATTATTTATTTTATATAAAAGTTGAAAAGTAAAAGTTTTTTTAATAGACGAAAGTAAAGCTAGAAAACAAAATTATCACGTTGAAAGCGTTATTTATAAACGGATCCAAAATATCAGAAATCAACTTTACAAAAAGCCAAGTAGTGAATTGACTTATAATAATGACATTCTATAAATATCAAGGAAATGTTCAAAGAAAACCACATATTCTCGAGGAAATTTTTAGAGAAATTAAAATCAATTTTCTGATCCTTTTTTGTCAGATTTTTTTTTTTGAAAGAATTTGGTTAGATGGGACCCACAAGTGAGCAGGGGCGGACGTAGACAATTAAAGTTGGGGGGTCACAATCGAACTTGTAAAAAAGTTGGAAGAAATTTTACAATCGAAAATTTACATTCAAGAAAATCATATCCATCCGAAAAGTTACATGGAATATGACTTTTTCGGATATAAAATTTCGAAAATTTTTGATGTCATGTCCTATATAATTTCTTAATAAAATAATACAAATTATATTGAAAAATTTGTATCACAAAAATAATAAATGTTAATGAAATAATTAAAAATTTAAAAAAAATACGAGTTAGACATCTCTTTTTTAAGACGTATGTTTGACGCATCTTTAACTATTTTCGATATTTGTTTGAATTATTCAATATGCCTATAATGTAGTTCTCGAAACGAGCTTTGAGATGATATAAGGGATTTGTATATTCGATTATCGTACAATCGTTGGAGAATTTTTAAAGTTAGCATGTTATCGAAATTCTCGAAATACTAATTTTAAATTGCCTACTTTGACAAGTCGTAACATTTGCTACAATTGATCGTTTCACACGCCATTAACGACATAAAAAACTAGACTGCGAGCATTTCGAAATGATATTAAGAATGCAATATTTCGATTTCGTTTCACATTTTATAATAATTTCGAAAATTGAAACAAAACATAGAAAATTAAAAAAAAAAAAAAAGCTAAGCAAAGCAAAGTTGGGGGGGCACGTGCCCACCCCAGCCCCCCTTGTGTCCGCTAGTGCCTGTGAGAGTGTTGGTCAAAAAACTCGGCTGCAAGTGGATGGGCAACGGTAAAAAAATCCATAGAAATTTGCTCCAGACAAGCCCCAATAAAAGTTCTAAGTTAAAGTCTCATTATTACCCATACATAAATATTGTGCGAGTGAAATTNATACGCCGTTAACGAAATAAAAAACTAGAATGTGAGTACTTCAGAATGATATTAAGAATCCAATATTTCGATTTCGTTTTACATTTTATAATAATTTTCGAAAATTGAAACAAAACATAGAAAATTAAAAAAAAAAAAAAAGCTAAGCAAAGCAAAGTTGGGGGGGCACGTGCCCACCCCAGCCCCCCTTGTGTCCGCTAGTGCCTGTGAGAGTGTTGGTCAAAAAACTCGGCTGCAAGTGGATGGGCAACGGTAAAAAAATCCATAGAAATTTGCTCCAGACAAGCCCCAATAAAAGTTCTAAGTTAAAGTCTCATTATTACCCATACATAAATATTGTGCGAGTGAAATTCAAAGAAAAATTGAATCCAACCAATGTGTGATAAAGCGTGTTTAAGACTAAATTTAAATAATTTAGTACATATTTGACAAAACTTTTTGAGATTATATGTTGGTAGATTATATGAAATTTAACGTTAAAAAGTGAATTAAGGTTGTGAGTACTATGAAATATAATGTTGAAAATGAAGTTTGATCAGCTTAAAATTTGAAAAAATAAAATAAAATAAAAAATTGCAGTGTACTCTTTTAACTTCTTTAGACGAGCCATGCTATGTGTACAAAGATGGATTACAAAAATTGCTTCCAAAATGTGATGTGACATCTTGTCAATCGATGATTTAAAAAACACTTTTTGAAATCAATATTATAGATTTTGCCACATTATTTTGTAAATTCACTTTTGTAATCTACTTCTGTACAAGTAGATTAATCCTATTTAGACAGGTGTTCTAACAATTCAACTATTTAATATGCCTATGGCAGTATGGCTTTCCACTTTTCACAAGTTCTACACAAATCTCTCTCTCTCTCTCACTCACATACTTCCATGATGAAGGTGGAAGAGAAAGGCACTGATTACACACAGGATGGGACTGTTGATCTAAAAGGTAGACGTGTCCTTAGATCAAACACTGGCAAATGGAAAGCTTGTTATTTCTTTATTGGTAAGTAAAAGAAATCTGCTATAGTCTACCTAAGAGTCGATTCTAAATGTGCCATGATATCATTTTATCTAGGTTTGTTTTAGAATTTTCTACAAATTGAGAACGATTAGATTTGAACACAGAAATTTTGCCTATTCTAACTCTTTTGTTTTGAGTATGAAAATTTGAAACAGAATTTATGTATCCACGTTGTGATATTACAGGGTATGAAATTTTTGAGAGGATGGCTTACTATGGGATTGCATCAAACTTAGTAATTTATTTGACACAGAAACTCCATGAAGGCACTGTGACATCTGCAAACAATGTCACCAACTGGGTTGGTACTGTATGGTTGACACCCCTTCTGGGTGCTTATATTGCTGACACTTTTCTTGGTCGATACTGGACTTTCATCATTGCATCAGCCATTTACCTTATGGTACTTCCTTTAATTTCATTCAATCAGTCCTCGAAGTGCATCTTCAATATGCAGAAGTAAATACAACTAGACAATATATTGAACAAGACTTCCTTAATCATGTATGATCGTACTTTTAAGACAATGTAAAAGTACACAGTATTAAACATGATTGGACACTAAGTGGACATAGTTTTACTTTCTTTTTCTTGTTTATCGTTCTCTAGTATTTATGGTCCACCAATATTATAATCAATAAAACAAGACCATGAAACCCTTATAAGATCGGAAAAATAACTCTTGGTCATATTTTCTTTCCTTGTAACAGGGAATGTTCTTATTGACGCTAGCAGTTTCATTGCCAGCACTAAAGCCTCCGTCTTGTGGGCACCGAGTGAAGGAGGTGGATTGCGATAGACACGCCTCAACATTTCAAGTCGGCGTCTTCTACTGTGCATTGTACATAATTGCTATTGGAACTGGTGGAACAAAGCCCAATATCTCCACAATGGGAGCAGACCAATTTGATGATTTTGAGCCTAAAGAAAGGTTCCAAAAGCTCTCATTCTTCAACTGGTGGATGTTTAGCGTCTTCATTGGAACCCTTTTCTCCAACACTTTCCTTATCTATATTCAAGACAACGTGGGTTGGGAAATTGGCTATGGCCTCCCAATGCTTGGGCTCGCAGTATCGATTCTTGTCTTCATTGTGGGTACACGTTATTATAGACACAAGCCGCCATCTGATAGCCCATTGAATCGAATGGCTAGGGTGCTCGTAGCCACCGTAAGGAAGTGGAAGGTAGTCGTCCCTAACGAACCAAAGGAGCTTTATGAGCTGAGCTTAGAAGAGTATTCCAGTCTTGGCATGTTTAGAATTGACCACACCCCATCTCTCAGGTGTACATTTTTTCCTATTCCGAGTCTTTTTAGCATGTGTAACAACTAATAGAAGTCCCATATCACTCGTGGAAGGTCCGTCTTATGGGCTTATATGCACATTAGTACCCTCCATTTTAAAAGTCGGTTCTTAAGGTAACTCACTGTCATTTCACTTTCTGCAGCCTCCTAGATAAAGCAGCAGTCAAAATCGGGCAAAATTCACCATGGATGTTATGTCCAGTGACACAAGTTGAACAAACCAAACAAATGATAACAATGATTCCAATTCTGCTTGCAACTTTCATACCTGCTACAATGCTCGCACAGACACACACACTATTTATCAAGCAAGGCACAACTTTGGAAAGAAGTATTGGTCCCCATTTCAAAGTTCCTCCAGGATGTCTCTCAGCATTTGTGACTATTTTCATGTTGACCAGCATTGTACTATATGACCGGTTTTTTGTTCCCTTTGTACGAAGATACACCAAGAATCCTAGAGGGATCACCATGTTGCAGAGGTTTGGGATAGGCCTCGTGCTGCATGTCATAATCATGGTAACTGCTTGTTTAGCAGAAAGAAGGCGTCTAAGGGTTGCTAAAGAGCATGGAATCTTCGAGAAAAATGAAATTGTGCCTCTTTCGATCTTCATTCTTCTCCCACAGTTTGCTCTTATGGGAGTTGCTGATAACTTTCTTGAAGTTGCGAAAATTGAGTTCTTCTATGATCAAGCACCTGAAGGCATGAAAAGCCTCGGAACGGCCTATTTTACAACCAGTTTTGGTGTTGGATACTTCTTAAGTAGTTTTCTGCTGAAAACTGTGGCTGACATTACGATGAAACACGGCAAAGGATGGATTTTGAACAACCTAAACGTCTCTCGTTTGGACTATTATTATGCATTGTGTGCTGTGCTGAGCTTTCTCAACTTACTTTATTTTCTGTTAGTTGCAAAGCTCTTTGTTTACAACACAGAACTGAGTAATACCGAAAGGGAGTTGCATGAAGCAATTGAGGCTCGACTGAACAAGTCTACACGAACTGAGGAAATACCGTTGGATGATAAGGCAAGCTCATAGAAATATCAAAATAACCATGTGTCGAATGCAATTCCTAGTCCTTTACTTGTAATTTTCCAAGGTTTTTTCTTAAGCGTGTATAAGATCACACCCAGAAATAGTACAAGTCTGTAGGCCATATGATTTCCCTTTTCTTCTCTTTTTCCATTATATGGAAATTGTTGTCTAGAATGTATTTCCGCTACGTACATTAAAATTTGGATCACATGGACACTCAAGATACAAAAATTCATGTCTTAATTGGTAAGGTAGTGTTATGCTTATGATTCAAATTTCATGTAATTTGGAGGTTTGATTCATGGAATAAACCTAAATAATGTTGGTTTGGAGGTCCGTTTTGATAGGGGATCAAATTTCATCATGAATTGAGGGTTTTATTGGGAAAAGAATATTAGAATGGATGAAAAAGTGTTTTGGAAATACGAGGAATAGACCCAAATAACAATTAAAAGCTTGTACTTCACGAGGAATAGACCCAAATAACAATTAAATCATTGTTGTATATATTATAAACATAAGAGAATGATTTAGATTTAGATTTAGATTTAGATTGAAAGAAAAAAGAAATTAAAAGCTTATATATCACACGATAGAGTCTTGTCTGACAATGCATGTCAAAAACACGCAGTCATTGGTAACTTCGTTGATACGACATGCTATTTTTTCCATTCATTCCCTTTTAGGATTAGTCGCAGTCTTCAAAACTTTACCGATGGTATGGACAAATTCCTAGCTTCATCCAAATGTGTAAAAGATTCTAGCCGCAGTCATTGGTAAGTTAAACATCTTTAACTACTAGGGAGGCTCACAATGGAATGACTTGAGTGCCCATCNCAAATATTGTCACGAACCAGAAGTTCGTTCACTTAAAAAGTTTAGCCCCTGTTTGATTCACATTTTTCCCAAAATTCATTCTTTCAATATTTATTTTCAACCATATATTCTTCAATAAAATAATATTACACGTAAATCCAAACTTTTTCTTATTTTTTTAACCAGATATTTTTCATAACATCACATCATAAAATACATTTTCTTCTCAATGATGTGCATCAAACGCCCCCAAGGACATATTTGATGGAGTGCATTGTACTTATTATAGCAATTGGAAAATGAAAATAATAATGTTCTTGCATAAATTTAGTGACTTACATTAGTTGATGCCCAAAGTGTGCCAGTGTCGGGGCCATGATTGGACCATGAATTGAAGAGCGACCATTTTACATCCCAACAATCTCTTCTTGAATATCAAATTTTCATTTTGGTCCCAACCTAATCACTTTAAATTATTGTGGGATAATGACATAGAGATCCTAATAATTTGGACCGTTTTGAAAAGTTAGCATAAAACTTAGGGCTAGCTAGAAATTACTTCTAATTACATACCACTATTGTATTACTTATTGTTTAAACAATATTAACCCTAACACCAACCAATCTAAAATTATTTCCTTTTAACTTTTTTTTTTCTCGCACCACATTTTTTAACTAATGAAAAGTTTGATAATAAAAATGATATGAAAAGTCGTGAGGGACATACGTACTATAATGAGCAAAATTAAAAACTTTAAGTGCAATTAAAATATGGTGTAAGAAATAAAAAATTGCGGCCCGCAATAGAATTATCATTATTAGAGGGTCTGTTTGAACCTCATTTTTGGTATAGAATGTATTTTGGAATATTAGATCGATGGAGAAAGTACGATTAAAAAATAAGAAAAGGTTTTGGATTTAAGTGTAATATTATTTTATTGAAAAATGTGTGGTTGAAAAAGAAGTGAGAGAAAAATGTATTTTAAAAAAAATATTAGCAAGAATACCCATTCCTTGTCCATATTTGCCCCTTAATCTTTGCTTAATTCCATATATACCATTGACGAAACAGACATGGCGGGAGTTAAATTCCCGGGCAAACCCGCCAAAATTGATGGTCTAGCGCCAAGTTCGAAATATTCCACGACTCCAAATCTACCGTTTGATTCGCCACGCAGTGAATTACAACCATACGTCCATTTCAATTTGACATTACATATAAGGCAGCAGCAGAATTTGGCTTCATAAACATACACACAGTGCATTCAGAATCTTAATCCTGTCAAAATCCTCAAAACCCAACTGAAAAAATATCAATGTTGGAAACTCAGAAAATGGCACCATTGCTGAATCCTTGTTCTTTTCATCTCCAAAAACTTGGTCTTGAGCTCAAATGCCCTCTCTGGTATATTCAACTTTTTCCATTTTTCTTGCAATATGTTTGTATATTTAGACGGCATTAAACAGTACAATGAAAAATTTCATCACGTGCCTATCTTTCTTAAATTTTTAACGGGTTCTGTCCAATTCAATTACGAGATGGGATTTTTGTTGGTAGTAGTAAGTAGACAGGACTAGACAATGAAGATGTTAGGTTATTTTTCGTTTATAATATTGTTTAGTTTTGTCCATTCCGTCCCATTAAAGGGTTGTGTAATGGTTTTTGATTGTTTATATTGCAGTCTGAACTTGCTAAATAAACCCATTTTGCTTCCCTGCAACCACATATTCTGCAAGTAAGGCTTTTTTCCCCTCCACACCCGACTCATTTGATTTTTTGTCCCTCTTTTTTTGATATATTTATGTGTTTTTGTTTGTGTAGAGTTTGCATTCCAAAGTCAAGCCAATTTGGATCTGAGTGCCCTGCGTGTCAAAATCATTATACTGATCAAGGTATTAATTTTCGAATTCCCTCATCCATTAACGTTCTATGCAAGTGTTCAAGAGCAAATATCTATATCAGTAATCCAAATGTAGATCGCCAAAATTAACTATTCTATTATCTCACAGTTAGCATGAAATCATGTATGTAATTCATTATTATCGTGATAGCATTAGCTAACTAGATGAAGCACACAATGTGTGCATTGTTCTTGCAATAAAGACAAACATCAATTATTTTATTTTGTTGAAATTTCCAACATTAATTGATGCAATGGTACAGAGAGGAGACCTACTCCATTTATGGAGAATATTGTAGCTATTTACAGAAGCTTGGATGCTACTTTCAATGCAGCTATTTCCCCACATTTTTCTTCTGGTAATAACACCGACAACCCTTACAAATATAAAATCTTTAAATAGAATGGACTCTAGAATTCTTGATTATATTTGACCTCTCTTGTTTTGTATAACTCTTGGATCACCCTAGATTCTGGAAAACTGGGACATTCTCCAGTTTCAGTCTTAAGTTCCGATGTAAATTTGAGAAGGAATCCCAACGAAGCTGCTCCTCGAGAGGGAAGTAAGAAGTCCAATGATTCACTTATCAACTGTGTTCCTAATGGAACCAATTCATCTGAGGAAACTGACAAAAGCGGGCTATTAAGTAATTGTAGGAATGGAGAATTAGAGAAGCAAGGTGGATGTGGAATGGCTTTCAAAGTTAGCAATCAGGCATCCCCATTGCAGTCTTCTGATTGGAAAGACAAGTTTACCAATTTTGAAGAACTAGATATGAATCAACTTTTGGAATTGTCACCGGGTGGCTCTCCTTCCTTTGGTGATGCCAAAGATGCAGATGTTTGCACTGATGATATAGGAAGTAGAAATGGGGTAAGATTCAAACCCTCATTTCATTTGAGATTATAATTGAAAGTAAAAAACATTGCCTTCAATGACTCAACTTGCTGCATCACTCCTTTATCAATTGAATTCATGGTAAACAAATTTGGATTCATCTGATAACCAGAATATTGATCACTGGGTTTTTTGTTTCAGTTGACTGTTTTGATCTTAAGCCTTTCATTATCAACCTGTCTACCAAATCAAATCTCAAAGGAAATAACTATGAATATCTTTTTCCTACTCTTGTATTAAACTTATTAGCCATCAATAGAATTTATACACCATGATAACAAACTCAAAAGTTAGTAAAATGATCGACTTTTCAGGACTTTGATCATGAGAATTTTCTTTCCAATTGAACATTGGTCACGTTGAAATAGCTCTCCGGTTGTTTTAGGGAACCAATATAAGCTAATTTCAAAACCCCCTCGAATACTGGAGTATTCTTGTCCTCTCTGTGTGGTCTAAATCTCTACATGATATTTCTATCCACTGAAACCTTAATTAGTAATCGCGTGTATGAACACTTCCATGTCCACATTCTGATAATTATGCTGTTCATTGTGGTGTTCCATGTTCAGTAAGTTAAAGTGCTTATTATACCAAATTGAAAAACCAACTAAGCAAATTTTGTGTTCTTCCGGAGAGTAGGCGGAGGTATCATCTCTGTCCACGTTGCCTAATTTAACTTTTCTTCTTTTAATATCCACAGTGAATGCATTGAGAACTAAAGAATTGCTTTGTCAGTGGTATGGTATAGGTTGTCATGACTTAACGTGCTTGTCGACATAAAATTCAACAAGTTATTGTTTAAGTTTTATAATCTTAAGAAGTCTACGTAAAACCTATTTTGAACATATGCTCAACTGATGTGTTACAATATCATGTATCTATAATTTATTATGGCATACCTCTGCAGAGTACAGAGAAGTATACAGACAAGATATCCGTCGGGAATAACTCGGATACTGCTGCGGTAGGAATACATAACAAATCTTGTGATCAAAACTCATTCCATACAAGGGATGCCAAGAGACAAAAGAAGCTAAGTTATGGACTGTTAGGGGAAGTTTTACGAAGCACTGGATACAGTCAACAGATTATTCCTCATAATTTAGCAGTTTCTGACTGTAATGAGGAACCAAAGTTTAGGGAAAATAGTCCAGTCATTCCACCATCTGCAATCTGTGATGCATCAGATGTGAACGGAAGTGTTTGTGCCTTTTGCCTTTCTTCCAAGATCACAGATGTAAGTGTTAGACATAAATTATCTCCCAGGTTCCATTATTTTTTATTTTTATTTTTTGAATATTTAACTTCTTTTAAGATTAGCATAACGTTGATGAAGATATGAACTGATCCATTGTATTTGATATACTCTTCAAAATTAATGATTTCTTCACCATTTTAATTGGTTATTGTAGGGTACAGGCCCAATGCTTCACTATGCAGATGGAAAGGAGGTAACAGGAAGCCTAATTACTGTTTCCAGGGCCATCCCCGTTCACAGTAAATGCATAGAATGGTATGACATTTTACGGGATCAGCCTGATATTTGAGCTGGTCTTGATATGTATAACCTACCGTAACAATAAGCATTAAAAATTAAATATAAAATTTAAATTTAAATTGCAATGAAAAGTTTTTGTGTTGAAATGATCATTTATGATATTTTTAGAACTATTGTATTTCTAATTGTTAAAATATGTTGCTCTCTTTCCAAATATACGAGTACGGTTGTTTCTTTAAAGGCTTTTTGTTGCTAACTCACCACTCAAAAAGTATTTGCAAATCGGGAACCATTCTGTAAGTACGAATAATAGATCTTGCAGTAGTATTTGTTCTTATAAGTTTCTTATTGCAGGTCCCCTCAAGTATATTATGCTGGAGAAACGATTAAGAATTTGGAGCCTGAACTGGTAAGAGCTGCTAAGCTGAAGTGCAGCAGATGTGGGCTGAAGGGAGCAGCTCTAGGCTGCTTTGCTAAGTCCTGCCGAAGAAGTTATCACGTGCCTTGTGCAGTAGAAATCCCAGGCTGCAGATGGGATTGTGTACGAATCTTTCATCGCTTCAACTTGTTTTGTGTTACTGAGTCCTATATTTTCTAGACTGACCTTTTCTTTTGTCATAAAACTGATTTGCAGGATGATTTTCTAATGCTATGTCCAGTTCACAAATCTATTAAATTTCCAAGTGAGAAGTCCCAATCTAAAAAGCGCGAGCATGGTGAACATTATTCCAAAGCCACTCAAACGTATGGAGGTTTTTCATGGTTATCTTTTTATATGTAACTTCTTTTCATCAATTAGTATAAACAATAGGTACTAAATAAGAAAGATAGCTGCATTTGAGAAAATCCTATTCTATTGATAGCAATATCTTTCGGTTCTATAAACACATCTGTTAATTTATTCAAATAATTTGTTCAGTTGTTTTGAGAAATGTCAGAGACATAAGAGTTCTAAGTGGTGGGACATGAAAAAAATCTGCCTGCTTTTTACTAATATCTTAACACCATTTCTGAACCATTACCAATGCAATTGTGATTTGCAATGCATGCATCCACTAAAGAACTCATTTTTTTGCAGTTTCCATGGCTTCAGTGAGATAATATAAAAAATGCTTGGTCTTTGTTCTTTCTTAAACGTTCTCATCTAGTAATGTTTTGTATAGCTAGAACTTAGATCACCATTATTAATCACTCTAATTTATGTAAACGTTTCCGTCTTGCATACAGATCTTCTGACAAGTTAAATGTTTGGGCAACCTCTCCTAATGGGCCAAAAGAATTGGTTTTCTCTGGGTCTGCTCTATCTTCCAAAGAGAAGGTTGGTATTTTTGTTGGTTATTGTACAATACATATAGTTTGGAAAAAATATATAAGAAATGAACATCGGAAGGACTTTATTTGGACCTTGTTTTATCATATGTTTAATCTTTTTCACAATATGCATGCTAAAAGATGGATTTGAAATGCACTAAATGCAAAATTATCTGAGACAAAAATGTTCAAACATTTACTTAAACTTTGGCACTGTGGGTATCTATATTAAAATCAAAATCATGTTTTCACGTGGGGTAGTATCAATTTTTCTTCTTGGATAATGGTCATTTTTGTTTGAATCCTTGACTGTATCCGGCCACCTAAAGAAATAACCTAATTGTCGTTCTATTTTGATTTATGATACGCAGCATTTGCTGTTCAAGTTTGCTACCATGTGTGGTGCAACTGTGTCCAAGTCCTGGAGCTCAGATGTTACCCATGTCATTGCAGCCACAGACGCAAAGGGTGCAGTCAGTAGAACTCTGAAAGTTCTCATGGCAATTTTGAATGGAAGATGGATCCTTACAATGGATTGTAAGCCTTCTATACCATTTCGTTTTTGGCTTAAGTAGCATGTACTTATATTATTGTAGATTTACGATTTCATGAACTATAAGAGTTATAAAATGAAATGTAATTACAATTAAAGCGATAGAAAAAGCTTTGACATATAGACGTATGTCCAAGCATTTGTTTAATGCTTGTTTAATTTATAGCAATGATATTTTCCAGTACCATGCTGAAGCTAGAATTTTTGATCGATAGGCATGACTCTTTGATAAGAATGTTTCATATCTTGAGACATACGGAACTGGGCATTAGTTTAGAAGGCCCATAACTTAATTTCAAAAGATTCATTCTTCTTTTAAATAAGTACCACTCAAACAAAGAGTGCATTGCCTGTCTTTCTAGTTATTTTGGAAAATTAGGAGATTCTCCAGAAAAAAAATATGGGTGACATTAATTGTTTGATGAATCACATAATAGTGACTGCTGAGGGGCATTGATACTTTATTCATTGTTTACACTTGTGCTCTTGGAGAATGACAACAAATCTTATACCTAATTTCTCTCTAGACTTACCAAATGATTCACGGTGTACCATAGATTGGAACATAATTGAGCAGATGAATACAGAATAGACCAAGAAAATCTTGAAGAATGCAATTAGATTTTTGTTTTGATCGTCTCTGGATTGGCATAATGCTTTGTAGTGTGGATCTTTTATTTTCAGGGGTAAGAGCTTGCATGGCATCAACTTGTCATGTTAATGAAGAACCTTATGAAGTCAATATGGACAATCATGGTTGTTGTGATGGCCCCAAAAATGGCCGACTTAGGGCTGCAACTAATGTAAGAATCACTATTTTGTGCAAGCATATTTTGCTGGTTATTGATGCTTTTTCCAACTGTTATAAATATTATATGGTTCATCATATGGCCCTGAACTCCACATAAACATGTGAATTTATTGTTGTTTTTTCTTTTTTCTTATTTCATCCTTCATCCACTTATTTGATTTTGAACAACAAGATTCCAACATCTAGAGATAGAAACAATGTCATGGTCATCTTTTTTGTATTGAGAATGTAAACAATCTTGCTCTTTGTTCACTTATTTTCTTTCAAAACACAATTCGCGAGATATGATCATAACTAGAAAGTGGGCATTATATACTGAATTTTCTGTTTGTTGCACAGGCACCAAAGCTTTTTGATGGTTTTAAGTTTTATTTTAGCGGGGATTTTATGCCAGCCTACAAGAACGACCTCCTAAATTTAGTTACAGTTGGTGGAGGTAGCGTTATTGAGAACATGGAACAAATGATTGCCGAAAGACACAATGAGCAAGTTCTTTCTACGTTTTTGGTTGTTTATAGTCAAGATTCCCCACAAGGATGCCTTGCAGAAGAAGCAAGTTCGTCCTTACAGAGATTTGAAGAAGCAAATAATTTAGCCACAGAAATTGGTTCCCTAGTCATTCCACACACGTGGATTCTGGAAACTATAGCTGCTTGTAGGTTATTGCCTTCTCCCTCCGGTCAAGCTGTCTCGTAGTTAAAGATCAATATAGACGATGAATGATTTCACTTATTTGGATGTAATCTAGATTGTCCTGTGGTAGAAATGCTTCCTCAACATGTCGAATGAAATGGAGAGGCTGAGATGTTCATTTTTTCTAATATTGGAACGTGGAATAATAAAACACTGTTTTGGATTCATTTTATTTTCCTGAAAATTACTGTAATTTTTGTTGTTCAGTTTCTCAATGCACCATAATTTCTCCTGGTACTGGTTTAGGCAGTTCAGTTCTCATGTTCTGTCTAGTAAGGGATACATTCGACATTGGTTAAATATCAAAATACAGATCAACATATAAGAGTTTGGATTACTTCTTTTAATAAGGTTGGTCTTTTAATATGAAATTCTAAGTTTTAATATAATATTAGAGTCCATTAAATTCTAACGAGCGATTCAATGTGACTAAATTTCAAGAAACGATTTCAAACGGTTAAGGTTGATCTTTTAAGATAGAATTTCAAGTTTAACTACTTTGTAAACAAATGAAGACAGGGAAAAGATCAAAAATGAGAAAACTGAAAGCCTTGTACATGCAACATGATTGAGAAAACATTAATGCTGGTAGACTAGGGTCAGTGACCGATCATAATCCGGGGGGCCGAGCTGTCATCACCTCAACCCCTGAATTGAAAAAAAAGGGCTACACATGAATTCAAATCGATGCACCTCGGCCCCTTGGATTTGGCCCTGGATGAGCAGCAACGGTTAAGGTTGATCTTTTAAGATACAAGTTTAACTACTTTGTAAACAAATGAAGACAGGAAAAAGATCAAAAATGAGAAAACTGAAAGCCTTGTACATGAAACATGATTGAGAAAACATTAATGCTGGTAGACTAGGGTCAGTGACCGATCATAATCCAGGGGGCCGAGCTGTCATCACCTCAACCCCTGAATTGAAAAAAAAGGGCTACACATGAATTCAAATCGATGCACCTCGGCCCCCTGGATTTGGCCCTGGATGAGCAGCATTGCTCTCGAGAAAAACTAGGATTTGCATTTAATACATGAATGTACATTTCATCACACCTTCAGTTTGTCTACGAGCTTGCTTTATCATCCGAAGTTATTTCCTCTTTCCGTGTAGACTTGTTCAGTCGAGCCCCCAAGACTTCAGGTAACTCCTCTTCATTACCACTTGCCTCTGTGTTGTAAACAAAGAGATTCGCAACTAGCAGAAAGAAAAGAAGATTGAGAAAGTTCAGGAAAGCATAAAATGCATAATAATAGTCCAAATGTGAGATATTTATGTTGTCTAAAATCCACCCTTTTCCATGTTTCTTGGTAATATCAGACACGGTTGACAGCAGAAAACTACTGAAGAAGAATCCAACTCCCAAACTGGTTGTAAAGTAAGCAGTTCCAAGACTTTTCATGCCTTCTGGTGCTTGATCATAGAAGAACTCAATTTTCGCAACTTCAAGAAAGTTATCAGCAACTCCCATAAGAGCAAACTGTGGGAGAAGAATGAAGATTGAAAGAGGCACGATTTGATCTTTCTCGAAGATTCCATGTTCTCTGGCAACCCTCAGACGCGTTCTTTCTGCGAAAAAAGCAGTGATCATGATTACAACATGCAACACAAGGCCGATCCCCATCCTCTGCAGCAATGTAATCCCTCTTGGGTTCTTAGTGTATTTTCGCACAATGGGAACGAAGAACCGGTCGTATAGTACAATGCTATTGAGCATGAAAATTGTCACAAATGCTGTGAGACATGCTGAGGGAATCTTGAAATGGGGACCAATGCTTCTATCCAAGGTTGTGCCTTGTTTGATAAAAAGAGTGTTTGTCTGTGCTATCATTGTACTAGGTATGATTGTTGCAACCAGAATAGGAATCATTTTTATCATTTGCTTGGTTTGTTCAACTTGTGTCACTGGACTTAACATCCATGGTGAATTCGGCCCGGTCTCGACTGCTGCTTTATCCAGGAGGCTACATGAATTGAAATGACAGTGAGTTATAATTGCTGAACATGGTTTCAACATGTACCAGAGTAAGGCAATACAATCCCGCCAGTGGCGGAGGGAGGTGGAGTCTCTGGCCACCACTGAGATTTGAGGAAAAAAATCTATGACTTTTATTTATTTATTTCTTTTTAATATTATTATATTTTGTGTTTGAAAAAAAATCGTAATTAAATTAAGTACCACTGGTTCCAAATTCTGACTCCACCACCGAGTCCTTTCATCGCTCATTTTATAAATTGTGTACGTTTCATAGTTTTATTGAAAAAATGAATCCAAATGTAAGGACATGTTGAGAACTAAATATAAATAATAAATGGATCCCCTCTTACCACTTAAATTGCAAGGCGAGGTGATTCATCACTAAATAAATTGAATTTAGTATCTCTCGTCTTGATATCCGTTGCATTATTTCATTAAAAAGTATAAGTTGTTAGCAATGATCGTGTTCAACATGACACACAGAAGAGACATGCTAAAAAGACCAAGAAAATGGAAGAAAATACGTACCTGAGAGAAGGGGTGTGATCAAGTCTAAACTGGCCAGGCTTAGAGTACTCTTCTAAACTCAGCTCATAAAGAAGCTTTGGTTCATCCGGGACGACCACCTTCCACTTCCTTACTGTGGCTGCGAGCACCCGAGCCATCTGAGTCAACGGGCTACCAGACGGGGGCTTGTGTCGATAATAACGTGTACCAAAAATGAAGACTAGTATCGATACCCCGAGCCCAAGTGTTGGTAGGCCATAGCCAACTCTCCAGCCCACATTGTCTTGAATGTATATAAGGAAAGTGTTAGAGAAAAGAGTGCCTAGGAATATGCTAAACATCCACCAGTTGAAGAATGAGAGCTTATGGAACTTTTCTTTTGGCTCAAAATCATCAAATTGATCTGCTCCCATGGTGGAGATATTGGGCTTTGTTCCACCTGTTCCAACTGCAATTATGTACAAGGCACAGTAGAAGATGCCGATTTGAAGCACTGAGGCGCGTTTATCACAATCCTCGCCCTTCACTCCTTTCCCACAAGACGGAGGCCTCAATGCAGGCAATGAAACTGCTAGTGTCAATAAGCACATTCCCTGTTACAAGGTAGAGTATGACTAAGAGTTTGTTTTTTCTTCCAACCTTAGGGTTACAGTCTTTTTTTTTAAATGGATTTTTCATTTTGGCTTGATTGAGTAAGGTGAATCCATGACATCAGAGAATATTAATGAACAAAAATAAGCTAAAATCTTAATCATACGTAAAATTTGAATTGTGTTGAAAAAGACATGAATGTATTTATATGTGTTGTTTGTTGTTAGGAGTCTTAGGCTGGAGCACTGAAGGACAATATACAAGATTTAATTTTTATTTTTCGTCCTTAATTTAGTCTCTTATTATACAAATCCATCTTACCAAACAAACCATAAACGTATAGTAGGCAAAATAGAATTAACTTGGCATGAAACGGTCTTGGAAGCTTGAACATACAGAAAAAGAAATTAAAATTTTAGTATAATCCATTATGCGTACCAAACATGTACATTGAGAATCGAGTTCGAGAATTAAAGGAATTACCGCAAGGTAAATGGCTGATGCGATGATGAAAGTCCAGTACCGACCAAGGAAAGTGTCAGCAATATAAGCACCTAGAAGGGGTGTCATCCATACAGTACCTATCCAGTTGGTGACATTGTTTGAAGATGCCACAGTGCCTTCATGGAGCTTGTCTGTCAAATAAATTACTAGGTTTGATGCAATCCCATAGTAAGCCATCCTCTCAAATATTTCATAGCCTGTGATAGTCCACATAATTGATAAAATGGATGAGTTAGCCTGCAAACCATGAATGGTGTAATTGAGGATTGAAAGAAAGGCCTGGCATGAAGAACATAAAAAAGGGGAGTTTTGTTCCAACCCAAGAAATGTGATGCTTCAAACAAAGGTTCTGAATTCAACTATTCAAGTCTATTTGCCACCGAAAACTTACAGAACTTTTAGTGTTAACTTTATAAGAACATGAATTCAAGTATTGCCGTCACTTTTAAAAATTGTTCACTTGTCATGTTTTTATAATCAAGATGATCTAAGGACAAGTCTTTCCATTTCCCAGTGTTTGATCTAAGGACACGTGTCAGGTTTTTGTGTACTTACCAACAATGAAATAACAAGCTTTCCATTTTCCAGTGTTTGATCTGAGGACAGGTCTCCCTTTCAGGTCAACAGTCCCATCTTGTGTATAATCGAGACGACCGTTCTCTTCCACCTTCACCATCGACATGTTTGAGAAAGAAAATTGAATTTATAGAACATGAAAAAGCTCAAAGCCACTGAAATTTTAGATAGTAAAAGCTTACAAGTGATGTATATATATAGACCTTGTAGCTGGTATCCAAAATTTTCGTTGATATACACTATATTATATTTCCCAATCGTTTCTGTTGTTATGGCATTTTTGGTTTATAATAGCAAATTTTGGCTGCATATATATAATTATAATGATTTCTTTGATGTTTTCCTTGATATTATCGAAGTAATAGGTTAACCATGTCGAGCATGCCAAGCTTTGGCATATCAAGTTGCAACTGAGGCTTGTCTCTACCTGGTTTTTATTATGAAAAATATATATGTGTTGTGCTTTAATCTATTTTTAGATTTTAGATTATTTTGGCAATGAAATGATAGAAAACTTATAAGTGATAGAAAATGAAAATTCTTACCAAACAGGCCCTTAGTGTTAACTTTATAAGAACATAATTCAAGTATTGCCGTCACTTTTAAAAATTGTTCACGTGTCAGGTTAATTGAGATGATCTAAGGACACGTCTTTCCATTTCCCAGTGTTTGATCTAAGGACACGTGTTAGGTTTGTGTACTTACCAACAATGAAATAACAAGCTTTCCATTTTCCAGTGTTTGATCTGAGGACAGGTCTCCCTTTCAGATCAACAGTCCCATCTTGTGTATAATCGAGACGACCTTTCTCTTCCACCTTCACCATCGACATGTTTGAGAAAGAAAATTGAATTTATAGAACATGAAAAAGCTCAAAGCCACCGAAATTTTAGATAGTAAAAGCTTACAAGTGATGTATATATATAGACCTTATAGCTAGTATCCAAAATTTTCGTTGAAATATATATATTATATTTCCCAATCGTTTCTGTTGTTATGGTATTTTTGGTTTATAACAGCAAATTTTGGCTGCATATATATAATTATAATGATTTCTTTGATGTTTTCCTTGATATTATCGAAGTAATAGGTTAACCATGTCGAGCATGCCAAACTTTGGCATATCAAGTTGCAACTGAGGCTTGTCTCTACCTGGTTTTTATTATGAAAAATATATATGTGTTGTGCTTTAATCTATTTTTAGATTTTAGATTATTTTGGCAATGAAATGTGTAAAATTCATGTCTGTAGAATCAGCCAACCGACTCGATACTCGTCAAGTTAAAATGGGCCTCTGAATAGTAAAAATCTAGATGCTCATCAATCAGAATAGATTATGCCAATGAACTTGAGTTGTGGAAGCAACCCCTGCTAGCCCAAAAAGCATACCAATTCGATTCGAGCTCTATTATTGAATTGCTCATTCAATAAGCATTCTCAATATGATGACTTGAAGAGAACTCGAACATCCACGCTCTTTAGCACGAGATNTCCACGCTCTTTAGCGCGAGATTTTAGTCTCACATGTCTACTATTTCACCACCAAATTAGGTAATAGAAGGTAATAACAAACAAACTTCTAGATATGTTAATCTAACTTGAGTAATTGGGCAAGTCGAAAGATAATCACCTAGGCCATTAAACCTCGTAAGGTTGTAGGTGGCAATAATATCCTAAGTTCGTAGTTGCAACTCTTGCTAGCCCACAAAGCATGAGCTAATAGAAGGCTTTAGTAAACAAAATTTCCTATATGTTAACCTAATCAAAGTATTAGGCAAGTCAAAAGACGATCAACAATGCCATCAAACCTCACAATGTAATAAAAGGCAATAATAAACTTAGGTCATTGTTGCAACTCTTGCTAGCCTAGAAAGCATGAGCAAATAGAAGGCAGTGATAAACTACGGTAATTGGTGCAACCCCTACTATTCTAGAAAGCATGGTGTAACAGAAGGTAATAATAAATAGACTTTTTGATATGTCAATCTAATCTAACTAATTACTAGACATGTCAAAAGACGATCAACTAGGTCATCAAACCTCGTAAAGTACGGTCAAGCTCACTAGAGCTTCAATTAAGATCAAAATTCAGAATAAAGTAGCATTGCTCTAACTACCCAATAAGAATCAAAGACCAACTAGTCTGATGGTAGCGTCTCACGTACTCTAGTAAGAGGCAAATCTTGTTATTGATTTTGTTAACAAAAGAACAAATCTTGCTCATGAATCTCCATGAATCATTTCATTAATTAAAGGACAACAACAATACTATGTAATAATATTAAAAAAGAAAAAACATTGTATAGTAGGTATTAAAAAAAAAAGAAAATTTAAAACTAGTTTAACATTTAAAAACTCAAAATACTAAAAAAGAAAAATATTTATTTCATTTATATTTTATAATCAACATCCATTTCTTGTGACAATCATGTACTTTCTATGCCCTCGCGGAGAAATATGCGTGCATGCCGGATTCATTTTTCTCTCGCCTATAACTCAAACTAACTTTAACTCTCATGTTGAATAATCATTTCATTTAACCACTCAAATAGCTATGGATAGATGAAACTTATCCATTTAACTTATTAACATTTTTATTTGAGTGTAACTAAATTCACATTCAAATACATGCAAGAACTAAATTATATCCGGCCCTGGGCAAAAGCCACCTAGGCAATGACCTAGGACCTCAAAATTTGAGATGCCTTAAAAAGTGAAAATTAATCCCCCACGAAATTGGTGTGTGCTATTGCAGGCACCCAAAAGTAATACCTTAATCTCTAAAATTAATGTAGTAGTGGAAGTAAGGGTCGATCCCACGAAAAGTATGTAATTCAATATTTTATACTTCGTACAATAATTGGGAGGTTTTTGTATGCAAACAATTGTAAATAACGCAATCAATAACAATGAAAATTAAATTGACGAAAACAATCAAAAGACTAACCTTGGTCTAAGTCCACATCCACCATCGAAAATCAACGATTGATCATAGATGCAATGATAATTTAATTCATATTTAGAATATTTATAATTGAAATTGATTCTTATTTCTCCTTAATTTTAGTTAGTTAGAAACCAGCGTTCTAATTAACCCTAATTATTAAATAACCCAAAACCAGCTCTCAAAATTTAATTTAATAACAAATTTACACAATAGAGAAATCGATGAATTAGATAACACAAACACATCCACCTTCAGAAACCCAAGATTGATCATAGATGAAATGATACTTAAGATTAAATTTAATAACAACTTTACACAATGTAGAAATCGATGAATTAGATAACACAAATAGCAACGGTTGCATTCAATCTATTTAAATATTCTTCTTAAGATTCAATAACCTCTATCGCAGAAAATTATCAAATCCTAGTACTTCATAAGTTAAAAGAATCAAACAATTATGGATTTGATGTTTAACTTAGCGGTAGATTGTTACAATCAATGAACTAGCAGACCCTCTAAATGTAACAAATCATAGAAATAACTGCAAAAGAACATTCAATACACAAAATATAAATCAAACAATAAGAAAAACTATTTAGGTCTCACAATATGTGGTTTCGAGGCTTCCTTTCCTTCGACCAAGTGTAAAAGTTTAGTTACAATTCATGAATCCAAAAGAGAAATAATGAAGAATTGAATTGGGAGGCGTTCTCTTCTTATTCTAGGGTTTTAAAATATGTATTTATAGTTATTTTCATAGGTGGTTGACTTAAATTCGGAAACCAGAAAATTTTCCCTGATTTGGCGTGGGCGGGTGCCCAATAGAAAATAAGGCTGCTGCCCAGGCATAAATATTTGCTTCTGTTAATGAAGTCTAGGGCGGCCGAGCGGTTTTCAGTATTTTGGTCATATCTTCCTCTTCCGATATCCGATTGAGTTGATTCGAGATGCGTTGAAAAACTAACTCAAACGGCTACAACTTTGCTTCAGATATCATCTTCCAACTCGATCGTTTTCCATGTCAAAAATGGGTCTCAAATTGAGACTGAAAATCTGATGCATAACATTTTCGGCTAGGAGTTGATATGTGATAATACTTTGATTGTACTTCATCCCTTTGACTTCTTTCTTCATCTGATTGACCTCTAACACTCTTAAATCTTTATCGTGAGGTTCCACATAACTTTTGAGGATTTACATTTCAGTCCCCAAACTTCGTTTTCTTTCCTTTTGACCATTGTTCGCTTATTTCTTCCAAATTACGTCATATCCATAGAATTGTTACCTAAATCAAAATATGAACGTAATGAGTACATTTTGACACTAATTAATCATACGAGCACATAAAATAAGGAAGGAAAAATATGCATTTTACATTCGTATCAAAAATATATNGTATAAATAGTTTGACAATGTGTGACGTGTAAAGATCCTTGTCATTAATTTCAAAAACAGTTTTTAAATCAATGGACATGATGCTTGTCAATTCATACATTGTCAAACTAGTTGTATAAGTAGCATAATTCAACGGAGCGGGATCATGTTCCCGGTACCCGTCCCGTCTCCACCTCTGGGCAACGAAACCCCTGCCCGTTCAATCAATTAAACAAGTAATGACCGTTCCATTTTGGGTGGGATCCCGAGAGTATCGAGTTTAATAGGGTTTTTTGTCATCCCTGTGTTTCTCATTCATCACCAGTGAGAAAACATAAAATCCCAAACTTTCAAATCCCCCAAATTGTCTATGTAAATTCATTAATCTTGAATCAAATTCCACATTTTTCCAAATTCTGTCGTATCATCTTTTTTGTCCATCCGTTTTTGCTCAGACAGAACAGTAAAAATTGATGTGGTGGAGAAGCCTAATATTCGTCTTATGCCGTTCAGCTTGAAGCATTAATCGCCGATGGAGGTCACTGAAGTTACGAATGACTTGTGCTCGTAATCTCACACGGTCGCCTTAAAAAAAATCACTCGAGAGTGGAGATCACTAAGCTTTACAAGTAGTCCTACTCGACGATATACTGCCTAGTCTTTGAAAACTTCACTGTCGGATGAGAAGAATGTCTAAAGGAGTAGAGAAATCCTACCTAAAATGCCACCTTCCAAAATAATAATAATAATTATACTCCAATCATAAAAATTATTATCATTTTATTTCTAATCATTCCCTATAAATATGAGATTTTTGTTCTCAATAAAATATAAAAGTCTATTGACCTCTTTCTTTTGTTCTTTTTTTTCTCTAATTTCTAACATGTTATTGGTACGAGTCTTTTAAAATCAAAGTAAATTGGTTAGAATGAAATAATTTTTATAAGCATAATCATCTATCGCATGTATCGAAACCAATTTGGTGACATGTGATTTTTTTTTATATACAAGGCTGCTACTTTTTTCTTTTCTACTTTGATATACATGTACAAACGTGAACAATTTGTCTACAATTTTTTTTAGCTCGTGTTTGGCCCCCATTATTTGATATTATAAATTTTGGAATATTTTTTTTTTTTTTAAGAATGTATGTTTATAAAAGAAGATTTTTTTTTTTTTTTGAGTTTACATATAATATTATTTTATTGAAAAATGTGTGATTAATAAGAAGATATGAAATAAATTGTAATTTTAACGGCCCAAACGAGGGCTTACTACGCTCTGTCATGTTAATGCATATGTAAATTTGTGCAGCCATCAATTGTCTACAAATTGAAAAGGCTGCCATCAATCATTCTATTTTTATATATAGGTAATCATTTTTTTTAAGGTAGGTTTCGCCACTTTGACATAAAATTTTAACATATGCTTTGATATAATTTGAGGTGATAGAAGATGATTTAATAGAAAAGTTGATTATATTTAAAACAGTTCAATAATATAATATC